CATCTGTGGTGGTAGGAGTCATTATGGTGTACGTTTGACCCTATGTAGACCGGGCTTTTTTGGGCTTGGTGGGACCGGGGGGGGGGGCTCAATCGACTTCCCTCCTCTGATCTCGCAAACGGTATGTCGTATGACCACCAAATTTTCAGAGGATGGTGTACTCTAGTAAAAATTTATCATAACTACAATTTTTATGTCGATATAACGTAATATGACGTCATTATGACGTCATTAATGTGATTTCATTGGCCAAACTTTACCAAAAGTGCAAAAGTGTTTATGACAGATTATTAGGGTGTACTAAGTCTTATTTTGCCCACAACAACACTGGTGACGTCATAAAATGACGTCATGCATATTCAAGCTATCTGCAATCTTAGATCATCATTTATGAATGTTCAGAAATAGTTGTTTTTTCAGGATAAAGCCTAAAATACATTGTAAACAGACTAAAGACCTTCAGATAAACCTTTTTTTGTAAAAAGAAATGGTAAAAAAGTATTGATGAAATTTTAGCAAAATAACCTGTATATAGTCTAAATTCATGTGTTGGAAAATATAGTTTACACTAGCTCTATGCTTAACAGAATTTATATGAGAAAAAACAAGAAGTTTGACCAGAGGGGTTAGTCAGTCGTATAATGATCCTACATATCAAACGCCACATATTATTTGTTTAGGGCGCCAAAAATTCCTTATTAGAGCCTAATAAAATCAGGATCAAGAGCTTGGTAGCCCCATACCTTCGCCAGGTATTAGTTTGGGTTGTCAGAAATGTGGCACTGTATATAGTTTTACTTTAATTTTGCTGGTATGTTAACCAAAAGATGTGAGTACGCCATACAGTGCGAGCATCTGGTCACCCGAACTACCTAGATACTTAGAATAACGGTGCCGACAAATCAAATCTTCCTGCCTGGTGCTATTTTGTCTTATAAACATCCGTCCCCCACCCTTCGCGCCTTTGAACAACTCAAGTACTAGACTATATTCGAAGCTACGTGTCAAGCCTAAAATTCCGCTTTTATGCCTTGGAAAGCAACTATAATGCGCATATTCAAACTTTGCCTTTTTTATAGTATAAGCTACGTACTAATACTATGAAAACATCCACAACATCACAAAGTTATCCCGTCTAGTCACATTCCGTCATAAAAAAAAGACAATAGCAGATCTAAAAGCAGCTATTTTGCTGAACTCCACTTCAAATAATTACTGCCAAAACGTCTGTGTCCTACTCTCTAAGACCATAACACGAGATATCATAGTAGTACTGTGTACCCCGCTGCAGTACCTTGATAAACACCTAGATTATCAAAATTGACCTTAACCTTTCTTTTCCCATCCTCATTCTATCTACCAAATATCATAAAGATAAAAAGTTATAACCGATGACAAAATCAATAGCCCCTATATATGGTGTACCTAAACATATGGCCTTCTGCCGATGGTAACTAGGAACTACACAACATTCAGAACAGAATGTAAAATACTCGATAATAAAACTATCGACATGTTGCCCATGGGAATACTATAACACAAATAAATTGCTAAGATGTTTTCCGAGCGAAAAAGAAAGTCCAGGAAATTGTATTGCTTGGTTCATTCCTACTTTTGTCTTACCCTGTTGCGGAGACAGCTTGCCTCCTCTGCGATTTTCTCCTCAATGCTGCCAGTTCCGACCTTCATGCCAAGGTTCTTCAGAGCGGCGGTGGCGAACCTTTTTCTCTGTTTAAACTCCGCCCCCCAGCGGGCAGTTACTATGTCTGCAGGAACAACATGGCTTTCACATGTAATCCAATACCATGCATATCAAGTCTTGAATACACTTAAATAAATGCTGCAGACAGCACACCAGGAATATGGTAAACATTTCTGTAACGAGACTAACAAACTATTCGCGACCGTCCTTAGAATGTCGTAGTTTCGTAACATGGGAGTGCAAAGAAGATTTAAGCGAAGTAAATTATAGCAGATGGTAAAAAGAAATTCACCTTTTCCAAAACCAAGTAATGCATCAGCCAGGTAAATTTGCGCCCTGGAGGCGAACAGGTCAGACCTGTCGACGAGCGCGTCCTTGACGGCAGTGTAGCCGTTCAGAACCACCACGTCTTCCACCCCCATCCTGACGGTAAAGACGTCCCCGCACTGCCGCCTCCACGCCGTCAGCTTGAGATAAGGCGCTCGTCCCAAGGCGAGAATGTGCCCGAGAACAGGCACACGTGCTGCCGGGTAGGGAGGCAGGTTTCTGCGGCTTTTCAACAGAAAACACGCCAGGAAAAAGGCCACACAGAAGACGAAAAAAGACTGCAGAGTCAGTCCAGAAATCTGCAGAGTCTCCAGGAGGGACTCAGTCATCCATCTGACGACCCCGGCCATGTTTGCAAAGAAGACAGACGGCATGCGCAGTTACAGCTTTTTGCTGGGGCCATGACCCGACGAGGTCGCCTGACGACTGGTATAATTACACCGACACAACCGGTTCAAACTTGTTTACTTATTATCTCTCCTGTGTCTTAGTTAAAGTCCATGGTCTGAATTTCACATAATTGTCATTGTGGCACCCGAGGTTTCCCAATTGCCCATAGATCTAGGGTGTCATATGAAAGGCCATATAATTTTTATCTCTAGTCTCTTGATCTGCTCTAACACGGCTGTGAAACTGCTATGTTGTCCCTGGTCCATATACCATGACTGTGCCGTCTTGAAAAGAAAGAATTCGTGTTCTCATGGCCCTACGCCAGCAGCAGCTATTTAGTGTCAACAATGCCGCAGACAAAGCCGTTAACAGAGGCATGCAGCAATTCTATCCTGTGTGCTTTGACACGGTGTACGAGCCTAAGAAATGTCGGTGCTTTTGTACATGCATTTGCAAAGTAACCTAAGGTAAGGGACCTAAGTTAGCTTGCCCCGCAACACAAAAAGAAGGTAACCACATAATTTCTCAACATTTTACTTTCGACGCTCTTAAACGAGATTTGGCACAAATACTAGTAATTACAAAGATAAAGATTCTTTATTTTATTTTATTTTATTTTATGACGATTTACCACATTTGTGGAAGGATTGACATAACAGGTGACTATCACCTCTTCAAAGATGTCAACCCCGAGACCAGACTGTAAGGCTTGAACCACTCACACCGGGAAGCTCCCCTACTCTTTGCGATAAGTGCGGTGGGTTCTTTAACGTGCGTGGGGTGTGGCTCTCCCAAACACGGGACCTCCATTTAACGTCCTATCCGAGGGACGTCCCTAGCCGAAGCTAGGTACTCATTTACACCTGAGTGAAGTGAGGAAAGTCGTGTAAAGTGCCTTTCCCAAGGGCACAAGATCGGTGACATGGGCAGGGTTCGAACCCACGACCTCTCGGGTGTGAGCCGAACGCGCTACCGACTGCGCCACACGACCCCACGTCAAACAGAAGGATTCAAACAGAACATAGGAACAGGACGATCAAAAAACTTTCTGCTGATCAAATAGTTTGATCACTTCGCCCGGAACTTAGCCCGTTTTCTTTTATGTTTTCCTAAACCAAGATCCACCTGTCAAATAAAATAGTTAAAGATATTTTATTTATTTCGTCTACAATGCCATGTATGGAATAACTATGTATGTGTGTAACATTTTGGTGCGCTTTGTATGTTAAATAGGTAGGTGGGTAAATAGAAATATATCGATAGATAGATAAATAAATAAAAAGATATATAACGATGTAGATGTATAATGATACATATAGTATAGCGCAGAGGTAAAATAATTAGCATCTGTACTAAAGGTAATTGACTATGAACCTTTTAAATCATTGTGCAGCCGCAAATGATAAGGTAATGTAGCAAATTCAAGAACGATTAACACTCATGCTACAACGAATTTGGTCCTCTTCTTACCATAAGAAGAAACACGTGTCACAGGTTGTAGAGGTGTGATAGGCTCTGGGACAAACTTAATTTAAAGGCTGACCTAAGAATGCGTTACATATAGCAATTTCTGGATGACTTGCATGATTTGACAACTTGATTTTTGTAATTTGCTACTTTTGTTTAGTTACATTATGTTGTACTGTTTGTTGTATTTATATTTTCAATTTTATTGATTTCTGTATCTTCCGCAATTTTTTCTTACAATCTTCTTCATGTTACAATTTTTGCATATGACTTTATTGTATTTATGTACTTTATCTTGGTCTATATTAGCTTATGTCGATGTAGGCCAAGGTGTCTCTAAGGTGGAAGAAGTAAATAAACTAGAAAGGTAGCATTTGCAAAGCAAATATCTACCTTTCCATGTTCTAGCTTACCAAACTACTGGTCTGTTTAATGCATTCTTATATTGTATATGGTGAACAGTCCCTCCAACTCTGCCTTGTTACCTAATGTAACCTAACACCACATGGTATCTGCCGCAGAACCAGTAACCATGGTGACAGACGTCTATTCAAAGTAATTGACTTTATTTGTTTAAGGAAAAGATAAATAAACTGAGCAAAGAAAAATGTGCTTTCCTTCTGCGAACTACAAGGTAAACATAAAAAGTAACAGCCCTGCACCTGCCAATAGGAGATAAAGAAATACACGAAATTCTTTGACACCTTTTGGTAATCTTGTGTGGTATACCATTAAGTTTAAGAGAAAAACGGTTTTAGGAAATTAATCACATAAATGACGTCAAAATGACGTCATATTACGTCATAATGATTTTAAAATTGTTAATATTATTAATTATTACTAATACACCTTGCTCTAAAAATTTAGCAGTCATACGACATAACATTCTTGAGTTTGAGTTTTG